GGCTCATCCTGGTATTCGAGCAACGCGGAAATTGGTGCAGGCTAGGTATGTTTGGCTTGGTTTGGTTAAGGATGTAGCTGTGTTTGTGCGTAGTTGCATTGCGTGTCAGAAGTCCAAGATTCAGCGGCATACTAAAACACCAATTGGTTCGTTTGCTGATATTGATAGTCGGTTCCAGCATGTTCATGTTGACATTGTGGGTCCATTGCCTTTGTCTCAGGGGAAGCGTTATTGTTTGACTTGCGTCGATCGTTTTTCTCGGTGGCCTGTTGCTGTGCCTCTGTCGGGCATTACGGCAGAAGAAGTTGCAGCGGCTTTTATCGACGGTTGGGTGGCAAGTTTTGGTTCTCCGCAGGCTATTACCACTGATTTGGGTCGGCAGTTTGAGTCTGCTGTATTTCGGGAACTGACGAGATTGCTTGGAGTGAAACACTTTCATACCACGGCTTATCATCCTCAAGCAAATGGCATGGTTGAACGTTTCCATAGAACATTGAAGGCAGCCATTCGATGTCATTCCTCAAGTAATTGGACGCAGTCTCTTTCGCTTGTGTTGTTGGGATTGCGAACGACACCGAAACTAGACCTAAATGCTAGTCCTTCAGAGATGTTGTTTGGAAATCCTCTTTGTGTTCCAGGGCAGATGCTTTCGGATTTCAAGCAGAAGTCGTCCGAGACTGATTTTGTGTCGGCGTTGCGAAGGGCTTTAGCTAAGGTTAAATCCGTTGAATCAACAAGACATTGTCATCCATCTGTGTATGTTCCGCGTGACGTTATTAATTGTAAGCACGTTTTTCTTCGAGTGGATCGTGCTCGAGCTCCACTTGAGCAGCCTTACGAAGGTCCATTTGAGGTGCTGAGTCGTAATGAGAAGACGTCTATTATTGTTTGCCGTGGGAGAGAGGTGACTGTTTCGAATGATAGGTTGAAGGCGGCGTACTTAACGTGTGATGATCTTGAACAGGTTGTTCCAGAAACGCGTCAGCCTTCAGCGTTGTTGAATGGTGATCAGTTAGTGACTTCTGGTGATTGTAGGCGTGAATCCCTGTTGCCGATTCCGAAAGTGACACGAGCTGGTAGAGTAGTGCGTTTCCCAGCAAGGTTAGCGGAATTTCGTGATTAAGAGTGGTGTTGTCGACTTAGTTGTGGTGTCGCGTTGTTGCTAGTACTCCATCGCTAGGAGGGGGTACTGTGGCGACCCAGTTGGCTGTGCATTTATTGAATTTAAAAAGTAAAATTCAATTTCAAATATTTTTAAGTTTTTGTTTTGATTGATGAGAACGTTTCGATTTTTCTCTCTGTAAAAAGTTGAATAAAAGTTTATTAACATTGAAAATTTTTAGAGTTTTATTAATTAGCAAGGTGAACAGATCATTGCTAAA